CTAGCTCTTTTGGGGCTAAAAGGGCAGTTGGTCTTGAGAGAAAGTGGGAGGCTGTTGGGAATGTGGAGAGGCTTACAAGCCACACCACCTCAGCCACATTTCTCCTCCGAACCCCAAAAAGCAAACTGGGGAGGACACCTCCATCCAACCTCTCCTTACGGCCAGCTCAGCCTGGGGTCCGAAGCCAACACCAGGGTCTTCCACGGGAACCTGTCTGGCTTCAGGACACTGCTGTGTTGTTCTGATATCCTAAGGGCAACTGGCCCAGAGTTTCAGGAAAATGCAGGTTGACAATGAGTCCTCAAACACCTAAGACATCTCGTCAGATAGATTTCTTGGAGGTTTAAAGGGCCTGGGAAGCATAAATCCCGGGTACAGAAGTGGCTGCTCAGCCCCTCCCCACTCCCACCGAATTCCCCTAGACAAAGAGAAGTCTAGAGGGGTCCTTCCCAAGCAAGGGGCGGCCATGCGCTGGGAGGGGCCCCAGGGCCTGGCTGGGGGGTGAGGGAGCAAGGGCTTCTCTGCTGGGCATGGAAAGATGCCCGCTTGTGCCTCCAGCTGCCCCAAGCTGGGTGCGGCTGGGGACTTCCTATCGGCACTAGCCTGCCCTTCTGGAGCCCATGGTCTGTTTTGTGTTGCCCCTCACACATCTCTAACTGCTGCTCCAGGACTTACAGACCTTCCCAGCAGTCTGAAAAGGAGATGCCAGTCCCTACGTCCTAGGGTCATGGTGATGACCCATGAAACATGACCCGAAAGCACTCAGCACAGTACTGGCTTGTAAGTTTCACTGAGTACCCACGAGCTTTAGGGCTACGGACCACGATCACTATGAGGAGCTGCTCCCGGGGGGGCCCAGGCTGGGTCAGCCTTGCTGGATGAAGTGGGGAACCAAAAACAGACCCACACCCAGGGGTTGGCATCCAGCACTGTCTCCCTCTGGCCTGACCTTGGCCTGGCTCCCCAGGGAGTGAGGCTGGGTGGGAAGGGTGTTGGGCTAGCTGTGGTTGGCAGCAGAGGACCCAGAGGCCATCGGATCCCACAGCTGGGCTGCCCAGGCAGAGGTGGAGAGGAGACCCAAGCACGTGTCCCCATGGGACCCTCTAAGAGCCAGCTTCCTGCTCTCTAACAAAGTGTCCCGGCTGGTGCTGCTATGTTCTGCCGACCCCCCGCGGACACACGCACTTCTGACCGGGGAGCCCCTGGGAATGGAATGAGGCTGCTCTGCAAATACCTCTGGAGGGGAGGGTGGCAGCTCTTCCACCAGAGTCTCTGAAGACGGGTTTTTTAGAATTTCGGAATTTCACGGAGTGAGCGCTCTGTTGCTCTGAGAGCAAAATGACTCAGCCCTTAAATGAGGCTGAAGATTGAACTATCTGGAGATTTGGGGAAAGCTACAGGACAAACAGAGATATTTAGAAAGGCCCAGCTTTCCACAGAGTTTGTCCATGTGTCCCAGATCCCCTTCTCAGGGGAGAGCTGGGAGGCCACGGGCTGCAGTCGCCGGGGCACGGAGGTTCGACAATGCAGAATCCCAGGCTGCCTTGGGCCAATCTCTGAGGAGGGGGACAGGAATCTGCATCTTAAACACACTCCCTTGGTGTTTCCTGTGGATAATTAAGTTCACACACCAAAAGCTGTTCCAGGTGCTTTAGACCTTCCAGAAAGGGGGCGGGAGCCACAAATATATCCAGGACCTCACTCTCTCCTGGGGTGCTCATGGTCCAAAGGAAAGGAGCCGATGCAAGGAATTTCTGGCACCTGATAAAATATCCTCGTTAAGACCATGGGCCATCTGAGTTATCCTGCATTTGGGTTACATTCTAGAAATGCACTGCCATAGGCCATACCCCAGGCACCGTCTCCCTGCCTGCACGTGGGCATGGCCTGTCCTGTCTGTCTTCTCTCAGAGAGAAGAGCACCATGAGAAAGAAAACTAATTTCAGAGACACGAGAGAGGTTTATTGCTCAGGGTGACAGGAGACTGAGCTAAACCCCAGAAGGCATGGGCCGTTGGTATCAGGGGGCTCGAGTCAACTTCCCTCATGCCCCAGCCGCTTCTTAAATAAAAACAGGCTGGCCCTTAGCAGCATCACTCCCGGAGGTCAGCTGACCATGAGACACACAAACCCCAGATGCCAGGACCCTCACCTGAGCTGGTGGTCCGTCAGGCGGGGTCCTAGGGCTCTGGTGTCCTCTCTTTCTAGAGGAAGTACAAGAAAAAGCTAGAGTAGTTGCAGGGTGACTGAAAAAGCCTCGCAGGGCAGGAATTAAATCTACATTTCTGCTTGTGTAGGGCCAGAGACAGAGCCCTGGTTGGGGGGAGGGGCAGGAATCAGACTCCCGCCCCTCACCCAGGCCAGGCTTCAGTTCCAAGCTTCCTGAAGCTCTTTCCCACCTGATTCAGCGTCCACCAGAGTCTGGGCCTTACACATCGAGCCTGACGCTAGACTGAAGTCAAGTAAGGATTCCCAGACCCTCTGATCTCGCTGTTTCTGAGTGTTTTACCTGAGAAACCCATGTTGCATTTGATAAATTAAATTAGCAAATGAGGTAGATAATTCACCTGGGAATAACGAAGCCAGGGGAGAATTTTACAGACTGGGTATCGATGAACACCAACACTCATCTAAAGGTAATTACAGCTGAGCTGGTTGGTGCTGACCGCTAATGTTTTCTCCTTGCTTCTCCTTGCCTTTTAATGCCTGTCTGAACAATAGTGAAAACACCCCCTCGGCTGACTTCTTTGGTCTTTTGTCTACATGATGCCAACACAACTGGTTTTACGGTGTGTGTTTTTACTTTAGCAGTCCTAGGAGCTTGGCAAAAATTATGATATGTATCTTTCTAAGATTCGTGTTATTGTGGGTAAGAGATCTTTTGTGTTTTTTTTTTGTTTTGTTTTGTTTTTTTAGCTCAGGAAGAGGTAAAAGAGATCCATTTGCCTCTGGGAGTATAACAGGTCGCATACATAGAACAAGAAGAAAGAGAATTTGACATAGTCATTCCCCAACTCAGATGAAACAAGGTTGTTGCTTGAACTTGACTGTCTACTAGCCTCATCTACTAGGTCACTACTCCTCTGTCGCCCAATTTGGAGAATATTTGCATGGAAAGGGAGATTGTAGGATTCAATTGTGCCTACCTTCTTGGCTCCATTCTTGTTTGCAACCTCATTGGTACTTTTGGGGTTGGGACCGTGGGGTGGGCATGAACAGCTGCTTGTCACTAGGAAAGTTCCACCAAAATGAATGTCTGCTGTGATTCAAACTTGATTCAAATGAACGTGCTGTGAATCAGAGCACAAAGTCATGTCTGGGCAGTGGTGTGCTGGGGGATGCTGGACCACCGGCTCTCAGGGCGAAAGTCCTGGTTTTAGATTTTGCTGATTTTCTTGGCATAAGTATTCCCATCATGGCTGATTTCAAGCTACCAACGTGATGTCCCCCAACACAGAATTGGGGAGGGATGTGCCCCACGGGCTCCTCCAGGCAGGTGTGAGCACACCTCCAACTATAACTGACAGGTGCCAAGGCCTGGGAGGCTATGCCCGTCCCATGAAAACCTGGGAAGTAGGCAAGACTGGGCTAGGCTCAGCTATCTCTTTTCTAAATGGGGAGCTAAGGTAAGTTCCACAACATCTTTTCAAGGAAATGTGCACAACACTTCTCTGTCTTTCCATACTGGGGCCCTCGGCAGAAAAAAATGTTAGACTCTTGCCACTTGGTCTGTGCTGGACAGTGTCCTCCCACTGTACTTCCAAAGCTAGGGCACAGAGAGCTGGAAAGAGGGACTAGCCATCAGCGTCTGTGGCTCCCCGTCTTTTCTACCCCAGAGGCATCAGAACAGAGGACGGAGAAATAACCCTCTTGGCCTTCACACATCATCCAAAATGATAAACAAAGACAGATGGGCAGAGAGCACGGCCCACTCACCTTGGCTTTAGTAAATCAAGATGGAGCTGCTAATGGTTTGGCAAAGGTATTGAAGCTATCATTTTCCATAAAAATGTTACCCTCCCTTCACTAGCACAGGGTGCATTCTTGATCACCTGGAACAGCCTCGACTTTCTGCTGATAGACTCACAGAAACCAGATGGGTAGCCACTGGGATCACGGAACCCAGGGCCTTAGAACTAATATCAAACCCATCAAACCCCTGCTCGGGTCAGTTCTTGTAGGTGCCTCTCACAGGACCGGGTAGACGAGATGCATGAGAGGAGGTAAAGGGCCTCCTGCAAATTCAGGTCACAACCAGGGGTGGGGGCACCAGGCAGCCTCCTTCCTCCTGCCTCTTCTTGGCTCCAGCGGTTAGGACAGGTGAATCAGAAGAAGGTGACTGCCTATTTAAACCATTTTCAGGCTAAGATTGTCTACACACGCAAATGTTGGCTCTTGTGGGCGTGTGGGGGACCAGAGTTCAACCCAACAGAACCATTTCTAAGACCACTGCTAGGCCACAATGGGGCAGCTGCGAGTTGTTCAACATTTTCCCCTGGGACTCAGGGTCCCGAGTCCCAGCTGAGCACAATTTGGTGACTACCAGCTGGATGATATTTGGGTTAAAGCCGCCACCACAACCACGTGGAGAAGAGCAGCCATGCTGGAGGTAAGGCCGAAAGGCTGCTGCCAACCTCACGTTCAGCATGACTCACATCCCATGGAGACCACCACCACTCTTCAGCGTGAAGCCCAATGCCCAGTGGTTAGGGAGCAGGTGGACACCATGCTTCCCCACCTGCCACCAGCGCTGCATGTCCTTGATCGTGACCAGACTTGTTGTCACTCCTGGGGAGTCTCTGGTTGAGTCCAGGAGCTCAAAGGAGCTCCTCTGAAAGGAAAGCTCAGAGCGAGTAACCATGGTCATCCTTTGGTGCAAAACAGGGACGGTCCAACCTCTGCCCTTGAGGAACCAGGAAGCAGGCATCGCTGGGCCGGCCAGGGGGGTGGCAGCTGGGGGAGTCCACCCAGGACCCCGAGCCCTCCCTCCCTGCTTCTCACCAACTGTCTCATTCCTCCATCTCCAGCAAGAGCGGCGTCCTTCACTCGGAGACCGGCAGAATGTTCTGGCTGTGGGAGTCGCCCGTGAGGCCCGAGGAGTGGAGGGAGCGTCTGTGGAGGATCCTGTTCAGGATCTCTTTGCAGCTTTTGCGGTACTGGTGTCGCAGTAAGGAGTACACGAAGGGGTCCGACGCGGCCTTGCTGTAGGCCAAGCACTTGGACAGCACCCCCCAGTGGGAGCCGATGGACACCGAGGAGGACAGCTCCACCAGCCTGCGGAGACACGGGAGCCCGTTACCGAGAGCACAGCCTCTTGGCCAAGCCTCAGGCTCTCTGCTGTAGTTGCCTCCTCCACGGCAACTTACAGCAGCAACAGGAAGGGGAGGTGCGCCTCCACGGGCCCTGAGTTCATTCTAGCTCCGGAGTAACAGCGCAGTGTACACGTGTGACTCCGTGGGACCCAGGGAGATGTGACTAGCTCCATATAAAGCAATAGATGGACAAAGAGGTTAAGGAATTTGCCTAAGGTCACGCAGCCCGTAAACTGTAAAGGCAGGATTTGAACCCCAGTCTGCCTGACTCTGGAATCCAGGCATACCTAAGTAATAGACTAGTGGCTAATAGTGACATGGCCCCTGGCTCCAACTTTCCTCCTGTCCTGCTAGGGGACCCGGGGCAAGTCATTTCCCCTCCTTGGGCCTGTTGGTTTGCTATGGAAAAGGAGGCAGCCGAATAAGGTCACCTCTCCAACTAGAAGACACTGGTGCTTTGCTTCAAATCCAGCTCTGCCCTCCTAAGAAGATTGCCTGGGACGGAGGGCTGAGAATAACTTTGCAACCGTTCTGCAAAGCTCAGCGTACGTCCTACATCAGGAAGAATCCACAGGTGACAAAGGCCTCTTCCCAGGGTTTCGATTCTGGTGGTCCTGGGCCACAGCCATAGTCAGGGTCCCCTCAAGTGACCTCATGATACAGGGGAGATACAGCCCATGTCTCAAAGGGGCCTTTTTCTGGAAGTCTCCTGGTGCCCATCAAACAACTCCACTCAAGGGTCCTAGTACCAGGTTGTGAGGAAGTGAAAGCCTTCCTCTGTGTAAATGGAATCCCCCCAACCCCACCCCAGATCAAGCCGCTTACTCTCAAGTGTCTCCAGCACCAGTGGCCCTATTTGGACCTTATCCAGCATGGATATAAGGTAGAAAAGGCCATGGCTTGGAGATCCTAAGTTACCCTCTCCCTGCCCACTGCCAAATGAGGAAACTGAGGCCCAGAGAGGAGAAGGGATCACCCGGGGTCACCCAGCAGGAAGTGAGAGAGAAGGTCCGGCACCTGCACGCTCCCCTGGTTCTGGCCCCTGTCCTCCCCCCGAGGTAGAGGTGTGTGCGCGACAGCAGGCAGCCGTGGTTCTCAGGGTGGGGTGCTGCCCAGGGGAGTCCCCAGAAGAGACTGAGCTTGGGCCATTACTCTGTGCGGCCAACCTGAGTGCTTTCCCTGGCTTTCTTTGGGCCAATGTGGTAAGGACAAACTCATGAAGGGAAGGAAGGGAAAGGTGGTAGAGTTCAAGCCTCCATTGTCATAACTACCCCCACCTTTTTAAAAAGATTTTATTTGTTTGCCACAGAGAGAAAGAGAGAGAGTGCACACACAAACGGGGGGAGCAGCAGGCAGAGGGAGTAGCAGACTCCCCGCTGAGCAGGGAGCCTGAAGCAGGACTCAATTGCAGGACCCTGGGATCATGACCCGAGCTAAAGGTAGATGCAAACTGATTGAGCCACCCAGGGGTCCCACAATGCCCCTTTTTTGAACACACCCTTAATGAACCCCCCTATTTGGCTTCCTATTTCCAGAAACACCGGCTACCCTTGCCCTCTGACCTCGTGGGAAAATGTGGCCTCATTTCTGCTCATGTCCTCGTTAGCCCGAATGGGGGAATGGAGCTGTTAGCATCTGGGAAAGCTGCACTTTTAAGAAACCTATTTTGGGAAGTGATGACTTTAAGGGGACAAAAACCCTGAATTTAGAATTCACACCTAATAATAGCTGAATGCCAGCACATTGTTGCTATGTGATGCCAAATGGCTTTACCAAAATGTCTGCTCTCCTCTGTGTCACTAAATTCAGTCTTAGCATTCTTGGCTTTCCCAAGAGGACTTATTAAAGAGCCAAATGTCATTAAGCCATCCGGCAAGATCAACATTACTATTTTTAGGTTCTGTAGATGTCACAGAATACAATGATTCGGGACAATGTAAAATTTTACCACTAGATAATTAATAGATAAAATCTATTTTGTTTGCTTCTCAGAGATTTAATGTAAAGTCTCAATTCTCCGCCAGGTTCAGTAATAATTTCCAGTTAGTTGCATGTCTCCTTTGGGCAAATTACTTGATGTACAATTATCCTGGAGAGCCGGTGTCATTCCCATTTCCAGGCTCAGCGAGCCGGCAGCTCCTCCACAGAAACCCGGTTCCACCCACTGCAGCCTGAGTGCCGGGGCTCAGATCCCACACGGCAGATGGGACAAGATTAGTCCTACGTCTCTCCCAGCCCGAGAAGCCCTTCTCCACGTGCTGCTTGGGACTTCGGCACCGGCCACCAGCCACAGCACACACGAGGACTCCTGCTCTGAAAAGCCAGTGTGTGGCCTCCATCAGGGCCTCAGGCAAAGACAGACTCTGGGGCAGCACAAGCCTGGATGCTGCTCTGTGGGGGCTGCTGGGCCAGGCTGCTGGGGCGGCGCCCCCTTTTGTGCTCAGATGTGGCTGGCAGACCCACTTCCTGCACCTCCTGAGTGCGTGGACCCCTGCTCCACGCTGTGCACCTGTTGCGACTGGCTTTGCATCGACCCAGTTCTCCCAGTTCAAGGGGACCAAGAAGGCACTGGGATTTCCACATTGCCGCAACTGCTTCTTTCTCATTCTAGATCTGGGAAGGGATACCACATGGCCCCTTACAGATGACCCTGTAAGGAGGGAACCTCCAGCCCCTCTTATGCCAGATCTAGCTCTGCTCAGGCCCCCAAGCGCCCTCCCCTCCAGGAAAGGGGCGTTCCTGTTCTGATCAGTCTTATTCTCCGCGTGGGCAAGGTCACTGCGTGCTGAAAGGTTCCTGCCATGCTGTGCCTCTTTTCTCTTTACTGAAAGGGAAAAGCACATGGTAGACAAATGAACTCCCCGCTCCTGCCCCGGAAGGCTGACCCAAGTGCCCCGAATTTAGGGATTCTTGGGCGTAGGTGTTCAGAAGGTGGTACTTTGTTTCCCTTTGGTGTGTCGCCTGCTGTGGGTTGAACAGTCTCCCCGAAATTCATATGTGGAAGTCCTAACCCCCAGGACCTCAGAACGTGATCTTACTTGGAAGTAGGGTTGTTATAAATGTCATCCGTTAGGACGGATTCAGCCCGGAGATGGGTGGCCCCACCCCAACATGACCAGTGTCCCTATAAAAGGGGTAAATTTGGCCACAGAGGCACGCATAGAGAAGGCCATGCAGAGCTGAAGGCAGAGACTGGGGGATGCTTCCATAAGCCAAGGAATGCCGAAGGCTGACAGCAGACCCCAGAAGCCAGGGGAGGGCCCTGGAGCAAATTCTCCCTCATCCCTGGCTTCAGAAAGAGCCAACCTTGCCATCACCTCGATCTTGGACTTGCAGCCTCTGGAACGGAGTCAATACACTTCTGTGGCTTCAGCCTCTCAGTTATCGGTAGCTGGCTCCGACAGCTCTGGGACACTAACACACACCCAGTGAGGAAGCCGCTAGGGAGGCAGGGGTGGGTTAGGCAGGGCCGGTTGTCTGTGGCCGTAACAACACAGCAGAGCACCAAGTCCCCGCCCCGTTCCTACAGCCCTGTGTGCAGCGAGCCGGAGCCCAGGGTTTGAAGCTGCAGCACTGGGCACCTAGTCGTCTTCGACCTCTGAAAAGCAGAGCTCCCTGCCCCCCATCCCTGACTTCCATCAGGCACCAAAGTGACTCCCCGTGTATTTACTGCCTAGGATACGAACCAGGGAAACCTCTGCCAGTGGGCTCTACTCGGGGGAAAACGTTTATGCTTCTGCGCTCACAACACGCACAGGCCTGCCCCCGCCCCCGACCGCCTGACACAGCTCCCCACTCAAACACCCTGTACTGAGAGCCCGCACTCTGGGTCCGCAGGGCAGCCTGGGGAGAGGGGAAAAGGGGCAGGAGCCTGCTTTCCCGCATTCCAGATGCTTCTGCAGCGGGTCCTTCAGGCAGGCCCTGCAAGTACCCTGGGGCGGGGGGGGTGGTGGGTGGATCCAAACACTGCCAGTGTGGGGGGAGCTGTGAAATGCTGCTGGTTGGGGGTCTGCTCACACATAGGAAGCAGAGCCCAGAAACCGATTCTCGTTCTACAGGGTGACGCACAGCAGATGCCCGCAGATGCCCTCCCTGTATCTCACTCCACCCGTCCGAGGTGCCTGGCCCTCCTCTGCTCCCCTGTGCCCTGTATTTGTTGGGGTAGGGGGAGCCACGCTCCTCTCTCTCAGCAGGAAGCCCTCAGATCAGGGCACTGGCAGGTCCCTGTGCTGGCTGTCACTGCAGAGGGCTGACGAGGCCGGAAAGCCCCCGTCCCCTCACCCTTCACCCCTAGGTCTCATCCTCACCCTACAGCCTGGCGGTCCTGGTCCCCGGAGGGAGGATGGGGTACCTTTGCCAGAACTCCAAGACGTTCTCTGAACCTCCAGGGAGACCTGTGTCTCCATTCTGCTCGACAGTGGGAATTTTTTTTTTTTTTTTTTTTTTGACAGTGGGAATCTTGAAGGAAACTAAATTCTGGGGTGAGGACAGGACCAGTAAGAGCAGCATCCGTAGACCCAGTTCCCCTTCCAGGTACCCCAGGGCTCAAGGCTTTGACGGCAGCTTCACAAACATTGTTTTAAGCCCCTGATAGAGGCCCCGTACAGAGGAGACACCACGGTGTGGTGATGTGCCACGCCCACATGGCCTGGAAAAACCAGGATCCGAAGCCTGGGCTGTGGGCACCGGCGACCATGAGCCTGCCTGGCACCAGGATGCCCGTCCCAGCTCCTCGGCCCGGTTCCAGGGTACAAAGACCTTCACCTCTCCTCCCCCTGCTGCCATGCATACGCACGCATGTACACACACACACACACACACACACACACACACACACACTCATACTGTACACCCAAGGCAACGTGGGCCACAGAACAGTCTTTGGGAAGCCAGCCTGATGCCTTTCCAAGACCCCTGGGGAATGTGTGTATTTGAATGTAAGTAATAAGCTGACACTTTACC